CGTTATAAAATCTAATTGATGCAAACATAATGAGTCAATTTCTACAATTAGTAAGTTCAGGGGTTAAATTGATAAAAACAAAAATTTTAAGGATTTAATTGATATAAGAGTCATAGTTTGAGTTTTTAGTTTTTTCAAAGTAACATTTGTTTCTTTTATGTTTTTGTTATTTTTTATTATTTTAATTTTTAATGGCATACAATATGCACTTTTACAAATATAGTTTCTGTCCCTTAAGATGCCTATTGACCACTTTTCTGAATTGTAATTAAAAATGCTTGTGTTTTCTTGAAGAGTGTTGTAAATTTTGAAAATTTTATGTCTCATCCTTATTCCATAAAATATTCTCTCTAACATAATAGCATTTTTTGTCTTTAAAATATGTATTTTTTATCGGTTTAATTATTATTGTATCAATTTTATCCCTAAAGTATCCAATTCGTGTCACTTGAATCCCTAATCAGACAATCTGTCAAATTTTTTTACGAAAGTGATCGCGTGTCATTTTTTAGACAATATCACGTGTTCAACATGGGATCATTCTATCCAAAGACCAAAATGACACGAATTAAATATTTTATGAACCAAATTAATAAAATTAATATAATGAGAACTAAACTAATAAAAAATACATATTTTATAGATCAAAAATACTATTAACCCATCAAATTAATATCGGACAAATTTCATTTTGGAAGTCTAAATCCAAATCCATGTCTTAAAAATAGAATGATCCGATTAAATTCCATTAAGGTAAAATTCTAACAAAGTACATTTGAATTTCAATTAATATTTATCAAATAATCACTTACTTAACTTGAGATATATATATATATATATATATATATATATATATATATATATATATATATATATATATATATATATATATATATGCGTATAAAATTCAAATGGATCAGATATGTCTAAATATGATACATTAGCATAGGTAAATTTTTAGATAGTCAGTTATACATATCAATCTGTATTTAATTAATCGTATTCAAATTTGGATAATTGGTAAAAAAAAAAATCAATTCCCATTCTATTAGTTATATAAATATATAATTTTGATGGATCCAAGGATCATAAAATTAGCGAATCTAAATAATTGGTCAACAAATACTATCCATATCTCTATTATCGGATTTAAACTTGGATAATCTACCAAAAAAGTTTAATCATATTCGACTGAAAAAATCTAGGAACTAAGACGTGGATCTTCTTGAACATCCTACTATAAAAGCACAAGATTATAGAGATGTCAGAAACGGACAGACATCTCTCTACCTCTTAAATCTAATTGAAAGGCTGGTGAAGCCTTAAACATAAAGGAGAGGCTACAGTAGCGATTTTGGTATCGTACCTCTATCAATCTTAGTCATTGATTTTGAAATGGATAATTTGTATTTTTTTATAAAAAATCACAAAATAAAAAAATATTATGCATTTTAATTGGTTGAAAAGTTGAGGTATGGTATGAAAATACAAAATAATTGATACTTAAAAAAAAGTAAAAGAAATAGAAACTATTTTATAAAAAATTACCTGCGCTTTGGCTACTGGTATGTAATGGACGGTTAAGTAAGTGCTTGCAAGTTGGATCATCAAACCTTCCAACACCCCTTTTTTGATAGATTGTGCTTGGCTACGACAAATCCATTAAAGAATCCTCATTTGTCCACATATGAAAACTCACCAAAAGGGCATGAAGAGACGGATTTGGAATCCCTTTAGTACATTTTTTGAGTTCCTCAAACCCTCTCAATGGTAATTACCTATCATAAATTTATGTCAAATGAGTTTATTGGTGACCTAAAATTGAATCGAAATGAAAAAAATTTACATTAGTGTGAATCTCACTTCTGAACAAAGAGATGTCAATTTGGGTTTTCACGAAAGGAACGAACATTTGCATTGCGTTCTAATATCATATGCCTATTGATATTGATTTCCTACAATGGTTAAGGACTACTTGTTGGGATTTCTCACGATTTAAATCCACTAACAAACACACACAATCGAAGAACAAATCAAGAATATAAAGCAATAAGAAACAAGAAAGAACAAGACACAGATTTTACGTGGTTCGGCAATTTGCCTACGTCCACGAAGCTGCAGGGATTTCACTATTGAGAGAGTTGAATACAGAGAGCGGCTGTACATCCACGATTAACCCTAATCACCAAAACAACAGGGTTTATATGTCCTACGCACTGGGCTGTATAACGAGCCCAAAAAAAAATTTTCCTCGGGGGCGTTGCCCCCGAACCCCCACGAGGCTTGTCCATGAGCGCTACGGCTTGGGCCTATCGGCCCAAGCCTTCGCTCCATGGACTAAGCCTCAGAAAATTTTTCATTAAAAACCACACAACATTATTTCGGATCGGGTCATCATCCGGATCACATATACAAACTAGACTCCATAAAAAAAAACCAACACTACTGTCATCATTCAATTAGCCATTTCAATAGCACTAGTATTTTCAGAACTGGCTCTACTCCAATCTTTAAGCTAATAGTTTCAATTTATCCAAGCCGCTGAAACTTGGATTCAGTTGGAACAATTTTGGCTCGTCCATGATCATTCAAATTACTAAATTAACCCAATTCAATCAGATTACTAAACTTAGGTTGCATTTGAGAGAACTTATAAAATTCAGAAAATACTTCTTAAATAAGTATTTCTCAAAAATATTTTTATAAAAAAGTAGTTTAATAAATCAACACCGTTTGAATGTCAAAAAAAAAATACTTAAATAAAAAATATTTTAACAAAAGTGCGTGGTGGTGATGGATAGTTATGGTGAGGTGGCGGCGGTGGGCTGGCAGTGGTGGTGGTGGCAATGGTAGACGATGGTGTTGGTGGGCGGTGGCAGTGGTGATTGGGTGATGGTGGTGGTGGTGGGTGATGGTGGTGGTGGTGGCGACGACAGTAGGGTGGCAGTGGTGATAGTAGTGACAGTGGACGATGGTGGTACTGTGTGGTGGTGATGGAGTGGCAATGATGGTGGTGATGGTGGTGGAGGTGGTGGTGAAGTACTTTTGACTTATTATGAAGTAATTAAAATAAGTTGTTTTAAACACTATTTTTTTTTTTTAAGTGTTCATGAGAAGTCATAAATTCTAAAACTACTTGTGAAAAATCATCTCAAACATACCCTTATTTTATAAATGAGCCAAAACCAAGTAAAACGTGACTCGGCCCGGCCCGGCTCGGCTCGCGCATGTTCCTGCCTATTACTTTTTTTGTCTGGCAACCTATCCTAAAGATGAATAGTCTCAAGAATAGTTCAAAGCCAGATGCACTCTCTGGACCCTTCCTTACCTGATAGATTTTTGTGAAATGTGACTTATAGGGTACAATTTTATGACTGCTATAGAGATTTTTAAGGATATTTGTATAAATATTGATTGTCAAATTTTAAAGTTGGAAGTTTTCAAAAAAAACTTCTGCGATACTAGTATATTTTGGCGGCTCAAATGAATTGCAAGTTTCAACAAAACCAAGTTTGAGCAAGAATCTAAACTCGCCAACTAAATTTGGATCAAACTTGGTCTCCGTCAATCCCAAATCGAACTGAGTTTGAGCAACAAGCTCCTCCAAGTGAGCATAAAGATACCTCTTAAGAAAAAAACTCAATCCAATTTATAGTACATACGACTCAATCATATCCAACTCGTGATATAAAAATTTCAAAAGTGTGTTTGGATGGTAGAGTTGAACTAGATTGAAAATCTTAAAAAAAATATTTTTCTTATCCAATCCAAACTCACCCACGAATCAACATTCAATGAGTATATCCTATCTTTCCCGGTGTTTGGGTAACACATGCATCTCTGTGGGATCCACGAAGAATGGTGATATAATATGATATCTTTGACCGTTATGCCCTTAACAATAAATAATATTAAAGAGCAAAACAATAAATTAAATTAATTTTATTATGGTGGTGCATGTGGTACAATTGAATACAAGGCAATATATTAAAGAGCAACATGTGTGAATGGAGAAAATGCAAATAGCACTATGAGAGAATGAAACATGCCAATATTAGGGTTAACAAATAAAAACGGGTAGAATAATAATAATAATAATACGGAGATATCTTATGGATAGCCAAATTATCTCTGCCCCTCCATGGGTTTCATTTAACCCACACAAACAAGTTAAAGTTAATTTTCAAACTAAACCCGAGTAGAATTTTCGATGCATTGTTTTAATTACCAAACGTGATATAAATAGATCCCACATGTTTTTTTCTCCTATCCTATTGATGTTATCCCGCCTTTAACCTGCGATCCAAGCACACTCCAAGGATGTTGGGGTAGGGTTTCAAACCTACCCAATGAATCAACTCGTCACCTGTAATGATCCCAAAAGGGGGAAAAAGGTTATCCCTTAATATTAATTACTTATTATGCCATGAAGAAAAAACTTCTTTACCTCATGACATTCTTTAGCAATGAAGCACAGGACACGGCAAGCCGGCTGACTGTCAATCCCATGGAATGTATTAACAAGCAGCATGCCAAGAAGCTCATGTGACATCAAAGATGCCCTTGAAAAGTTACAACACTCTTAAAGTGGCTGCTTGGGTACCATACGATCAAAAACTTGCATAGCCTCTCCATAAATAACAAAAAATATCAATCCATAACTACTTGGATATTTATTTACATATCAACATTTAACTTAAAAATTAACTTACAAAGGTCATCCTCATGCCACATTTCCACTCATCTTCAAGGTGCCCAAGGCTGCAGTCTCCCATAATTTCTTTGATGCACACATTCAACAGCACATTTAATGCTGGGTTTCTGCAAGGGAAACGCCAGCACTAGGAGAGAAACATCGTAAAGGTAGCTATGTAGCGGAAAACTGTTATATTAACAAGATGAGAACCATCTGTGACCAATGACCAAGCCAGAAACTGCCAAATAAATGCATTCTTTTTTGCCTCTTCAGCAATCTGACTACATCATTTGCTTTCTGGTTTTTAAGGCAGCCTCCATTTTCCCATCCTGAAAGTCGTTATTTTCCTTTTCTTGTTGGCTCGATGCTTGGCTGCAATCCTCAGCTTCCTCTTGGCATTTCGCATAGGATTAACCACAGCCATTAGTTTTTCTTCGTGCTTTCTCTTATCCCTCTTTGCCTTGAGGTTTTTCCTGATCTGGCTGTAAACTTGAACAAAATTCTGCATTCCTATAGTATTTCTGATAGTTTCAGAAGCCTCTTGTGCCAACTGCTTCACATCATCTGATATAGGATACAAGTTTCCGTATAAAAATGTCTCAATAAATAAATATTTTTGAGGAAAATTTGAGTGGAAGATACGAGGAATAAGATAGGAAAAACAAAAAATTGCAGATTATGACTTTGCAAAAGCGGTAAGATTAAATTATGGAAGTGATTAAAATACTGAACTAAAAAGATGTCAGAATCTAACTGGATGGATGTCAATCGATGTGTTGTCCAGTTTCTCACTTTTGGAGATTTGATTGACAAAAATGTGACATTCAAGACAGGCAGGAAATCAGGGAAGCTAAGCCAAAGTGATATTGAGGCCATCAGAAAACCAAAAATAGATGCACTGTGGCAAAGCGAAAAATCGTTCTTTATGCTCTATGGCGTGCAGCCACGTGGAGGCAGCCACCACAAAAGGGGGAAGAAAGATTGGGTATTCTGAGTTTATATGTCTAAAAACAAGTTCCAATATGCTGATATGGATCCCCCTCCCACCAACACAAATGTCTGAATAGGTATATGGTGAGAGAACTCACCCGGAATAACTTTCCCAGCAAATCCTTCAGAGACTTTGTATAAAGGTAGCAGCATATGATAAGCATAATTCTGGCAGCCATCCTCATCATTTGGTGATGAAATTTCATATTGGCCAAGAATTTTTGGTGAAATCGATTTGAAACTATCAAAAACAATTTTCACCTGCATAAAAATTTTGACAGATCAGAAATATGGAACTCACAAAGATGGAAAAATGGAGAGAAACAAGATGAGAATTTGCAAGGGGGTATCAAGGCGTTCTAGCACAAGTATCACAAAAACAGTACAAGCAGGTGTATGAAATACATAGATAGTACAAAAATCATGGCAAAAATATTTAGAAGGCTAAGCACATGAACAATTATCCAGTGTCCTAATCCCAGCAGACACACCTGAATAGCTTCCATCTGAAGGGCAATCTTCCCCATTCTCTTAAGGAGATAAATGATGAGCACGTGATGATAGTGCTCACTATTTTGTTGATCATTTTGACCATTAAAACCAGATGCAAGAGATGCAAACTCGCCTCTTCCTTTTCTCGAATCAAGCAAATGAAACACTTTAAGATAGCGGGCTTGATCACGATGTTCAACAGTAGACCAGAAGTCTTGAGGATCCATATTATTTTGTCCTACCAAGGAATGTACTCCACAAATTGAAAACACAAGATTCTGAGTAATCAAGGAGTTGGCTGCATCGTCAGTGAGTTGCACTTTCAGTTGGCAGCAGAGAGACATAGCTATAAGAAAAAGTCTACTTGGCCTCATCAGACAATATTTTCCCGCCGACTTCTCGTGATTTTCTCTGCAAGCCTCAGTTACTGTGGCGAAGTATAAGGCCACAAGGCGATTCGATACATTGCGCAGCCACATGTGTGGATGCAAAAGGAGCTCACAGATTGTTTCCCATATATCCTGCAAATTAAGAAAGGATGACAGATCAAACCCTAAAACATAGGAAATAGGGAGGTGAAAAATCACCAACAGCAGCCATCAGCAATTTTTATGATATTTAATTAACCTGGAAACAATTTCTCTTTGATAAATGATAATGCGGAGAAATGCTTCAAGGCAATCCCATGGAGTTAACAGGGAGAAAAATTAAAAACTTACATACATAAATAGGTGAATGAGACAAATTTGTGACTCAACAAAGCCTCATCCAAACAATTCAGGAAAGTAAAAAAGATACAAAGAACACTCAATAAAAAAAAATTGGTGTGCAATAAATCCCAAAAAAAAGTAGGGTAACCCCACAATTCATCTAGACAACGCTCCACAACGGAACTTAGGAAAATCAGCTAACCTGTGCAAACCTAGAACATATAAACAAATACTCCTTTAAGCTACCCGGTGTTCTAAAATATCAAGGTGCCAAACCACCTCACACTTCAACTTTTAGACTATTTTGCATGTATTTGTGGCACCCCATCCAAGATAATAATCATATACAGCAGTTCTTAAATCGGTAAGGAGTTAAACTGCAACCTATGAAAATACAAACTCTCTCTTTGGGCCAAAATATAACTATTAAAGGTTCAAGGGAATGTAAAAATGTCAAATCTAGCCTGAAATTACAGGTGTCATTTCCATCTGTCATTGAGGCGCCTCAATTGTATTATTTTATATAAATAACTCTTTTATGTATGAATGGCCAAGAGTCCCAAGGCTGTGGGCCAAGATGGATGAGGAGAGGTGAGGTGTCAACTCCATGTACTTGCCTCACATCCCCAAGATAGAAAAGAACATTTAACTGTACCTGTAGATGCTCGTCATAAACTGCTGTGGTGCATTTCAAAGTCGTGAGAAAAACCAAAAGTGAGAAGTGTCCACCAAAAATGAGGTGTGTGCGAGTATATATCGTGGGCATGTGCTGTGTGAACAAGCAAATGTGTGAGAGAGAGAGAGAGAAGGGTGAATATAGCAAAGAAAGATAGGTACGGAGAAAACTAGTGGGAACTGGTAAATGCAGCAAATTGTGATTTCTTATAAGATAAAATTTAAGTATGACAATTTTGGTGACATGAGGTTCATATCTACTGGTGTCGACAAGACTTAGGTCAAAAGGGATGGTTTGTATTAATGGTGTTTTGTCCCAAAAAAAATTTTCCGAAGTGTATTCATTTAACTATATCTGAGTCTGCAATTTATCTCTGTAACGTGATTATTCTAAAATGCCAATTGAATTTCAATTTGAGTATGTAGATCATGCTTTTGTGGATTTTGGCATTGATCATTGTAACCGATAGTCCTAACCCTTCAAATAGCCCAAAAGGGCCTACGAGATAAGGTGAGGATGTTGTTAAGACGCTCAGTCCGTGTCCAGGTCTCACATGACATATGAGATGAGGAGTGATGTCCAAAATATGATTTATATATCATTTGACATCTATGTCCAGTTCGGTTCCAGATATTTCCTTGAGTTTGTGCTGATTATTGTTTATTCATGTCATATTGTGGGCTTATCCTATTCACTAGGTAGTATAACTCACCATCATGTTTATACCACAATGCAGGCAGAATTCGAAATAAAGGATGAGTTTGGGATAGAAATATTTCCAGAACTGGAAACAATAGTTGTATCAAAATTGGGAGATTTACTGTAATATGGAGATTTTAGTGCTGCATTTGATATTGAGTTAACCCGCCTACCAGGTACAAGTGAGACTAGAAATTGAGATGCAAAATATGAAATCAAAGGTAGACCTACTGTGTAGTGCTGGGGGCGAGTCCCACATGAGAATATGTGTAGGGGGATGGATTGCAGTAGACAAGAGTCCAACTGGCTAAATTCCTGGAGCGGAGGGCCAAAATGAGTAAGGTGTGGTGAGGCTGAGATGTCAAGTCCGTGTCTTCGTCCCGTGCAGGTCAAAAAGATTGTTGGTACAAAAGATTATTGGACACTGTTTAAATTCATGAGAGGTTACCAAAAGTAGACAATATGCTATGCTGTTGGACAGGTTCATGACAATAGCGCAACTACTAGCTACAGTACCACTACAGCATTTCAAAGGTAACTATTTCCAGCATGCGAATTTATTACTCCCAAGAAAACTACCGAACGGTGACAAATAGCAATGCCCTGTTTTGGGTGGGGAATCAGGATTTGGGACTTGTTTGGAATTGCTATATCTTCCACTGAAGCACTTTAGTGGAGCTATAGAAAAAAAATGCTGATTGTTGAAAAGCTAGAAAATATTCAGGGAAGTAATTTCTGTTCCACTCATAACAGTGGAAGTGCTTTATCTGTTTGGTAATGGAATACATATGATATAGGGCTTGAAATTTACATGCAAACTACTTTGAAAAGTATGAATCCGTATGTTATTTCGAAAATGCTATGAAAATGAAACCTCTATTGCAAACAGTACTGATGTGATTCACCAAAATTATATGCCTACAAACAACTTCCAAATTGAAAAGCGCTTTTAGACTACTGAACCATAGCATAGAAAGTAGCACCAAACAGCACCTTAACAGTTGCACCTTCCAAAATGAAACAGATATTTACTTACCTTTAGCATTGTAAAAGGCAAAAATAAGAAGGGTGGCGAATAACAAAGAGAAAAGAAACAGTGACTCTAAAACAAATAGTTAGAACATAAACCCAACCACCGAAAAGAAATCTGTAGAAACCACCTAACAATGATGCATGATCACCCTAGTTAATCCAAGAAGCAGGAGCACTCTTAAGAATGTGGCATATCCGTGGCGGAGACGTGTCGGGTTATCTTTTAATCACATTCATTGTCGACATGTAATTAATAAACTTGAAGAACTTGCAAATGCTCTTCTTACACTATGCCGTGTCCGTGTGTTCCTATCGTGTCGTATTCATTTCTTGGGTCCGTATTGATGCTTCTTAGTAGTTACTGATATGAATTGCAAGTTAAAATGAGAATTTAATTAGGACACTCGGTTAAGTTTCTAATAAAGGAAGGATGCTAAATTGACAACTTCAACTAGCAAAATCTAATGCATACTAGTGGGTAATCATACTAAACAAGGATTAGGGCTTGAACTTATATATGAAGCATAAATACAACACATAGCAACCAAAATTTTTGCAAAGCTCAAAAGAGATAATTGTACCACTTGGGATCCCCCAGCCTCCACCACTGCCAGTGACAATCATACATACTATGTGAACTAAACAAAAGCCTCAATAACATAATTATTCTTCAAGTGCAAAATAGACGCAACCCAAATTAACTGAACTTTGTCTTTCTAGTAAACATGCCTTCAATCTTTCATCTCCAAAGAATGTGTGCGCATGCATAGCCTAGCACCTTTCTCTCACTCATAAAACCAGTTTGTAACACTACAAGAGGTAGTCTACTCAAGAAAGTCATCAGACTTCTACAGCATAAGCAACATATCACAAAGAAAAACAAAGCTAGAGTGATACAAAATTAAGAGGTTTTACCTGAAAATCATGAAAAAAATTTCCAGGAAACTAAATCATGCATGCAATGTAAAAAACAGTATGCATGTCTATTCCCAAATATAAGCAGTAGCATAGTACCTCAAGATCCCTTTCCAAGCACAAATCATGGAACTGCTGCAGCATCTTCTCCAGCATAACAAGCGAATAATATGCCTCCCTCCAAGAGGGAACCATTGCTTCATCAGAAAGATCTAGCTGCCTATCTGTAAGAACATTGACAGACGACTCTAAAATGCTTCTCATCACAGGTAATACACTACTAATATGTCTTTGAAAGCCTTTTTTCATGACTTCGACAAGTAACCCCAAGACCTGCACAAAAATGTTTTAAAACCACAAAACATAGAACAATACTAAACTAATAATAAAAGTGTGAAACATAGAAGGTAAAAGTATTTCCACTCATAATTCATATCAGATTCCAGCCTACATAGTTCTTAATGAACACATAAGGTGAAGAAGAGAAGAGGGGTATATAGATGAAAGTACATTTAAGTGTACAAACAAACAGGTGAAACAAGACAGCTTCTGAAATACCATTCTCGCATGAAGAATGAAATAACAAATCTACAAAAAAGAATTTCCATATGTTCTACGCTTATGTTTTGTGCACAAAAAAGTAAACATCCAGTCGTCCGATAACAAAATTGCGTCAGGGTCTACTCCCACTCTCAAGATGTAAGAGATTAATATAGGTAGGCCCAAGGATCAAAATTTCATTTCAGTGCATTGTTTCGGTCGCCTAGGAAACGGAACATCTTGAAATACCTTAAAACATTCCGTAATAATCATACAAATGTATTGAAATATAACAACATTTCGAAAATTGTGGAACACCTAAAAATATTAAAATTTCGATTCCATCACTAATT